ATAAGAGCCCAAATCTTTTTGTTATACACAAATGCATAGGGTAATTGTAGGAATTTTTTTATAATTAAAAAAATAAAATCAATATTTTGTTTAATAGAATTCAAACTCTAGACTTTTATCAAATTATTCTTAATATTAATTTGATTATATATATATTATTTTAAATGAAATTTGGGTCGTAAAAATTTTGGAATGTTACACAAAAACACAAAGGATCAAGCATTGGGATTTAATATTTAATTCAATAAACCAATTTACTTAATTACATAATTTACCGAATATAGAGCATTAAGGCCTATGATTTATCTCAAAGGAAAATGACAAAGTTAAGGTGGGCTCTGCATCTAGATTGAAAAGTAGTTACTTCAAAAAAAAAAATAGACATTATTTAAATTGAAGATTCCATTTTAGTCATTTTTTTAAAGTAGCCATTACTTAAATCAAAATCAATAATATTGTCAACAAAAGTTCGTCTAGTTGGTATGTCCATAATCCATAAGATGATAAGATCAAATTCTATAGTCAATGTAAAAATTTTATTAATAAATAATTTATAAATATTTTTATAAGAACTCTTTAAATATGGAAACATTTAGCTCAAATCGGAGGAGGAGGTTTCCAAACTGTTAGCTTTCCAAATTGTATGGAGGAGTATGCTTTGTGACAAATAAGAGAAACAACGACGGATGCCTCTGTGTTGGAGGTTCAACCACTTCACTATTCATAACTTCACCTGTACGTATAGGAAAAGAGAGGAGGAATCCTACTGGGGTGGTCTCATCTTTCTGGGAGTACCCTCCAATGCCTTGCATCTGTTTCAATAAAATATAATTGTAAAAGAATAAGGAATGGATTCAAACTTTAGTTACGTTGTCGGGATTAGTCCTTTCATGATTTTCCAAATCTAGAGGGGAGGACAGACAACAGAGAAGCCTTGTGTGGCCCCATTTTTTCTTGAATCACACATGCTTTTACAAGGGCCACTAATTCAAGCAAATCGGACTTACAGGTCAGGTTTATTTGAACTGACCTAAACATCCAAATCATAAAATAATATTTTTTTTTATTTTTTATTTTTGTCTAAGTTTTATTTTAATTTTAAAAAATTAATATTGTCAACTTTTATTTTATTTTAATATTATTGTATTAATAATAAAAAATGAATTCGGGTATTGAGTTAAGTCTATTCAAGTTTAGACTTGGTCTAAATTTTCAATTTATTCGAGCAACCTGAATAAGCTCAAGATGAAGAAATTCTTTAAACTTAACTCTATTCTTAAAATTTTTTGCTAAGTAACGTAACTCAAATTTTATATTCGTAATAATTTTTCAGCTGTAAATCAATCCTTCTATGAAAATATTGGGTCTATTTGTTTTATGTTATTTCTTGAAAAAATTACTTATTTTTTGGAAAAATTATTTTGTAAGTTTTATGTCATTTGTTTAAAATTTTAAAAATAATCTAAATTTGGAAAAAACATTTTAATTATTTTAAAAATTTACTTTGAGCAGCTTCTGAAAATAATATAATGTGGTAGATGAGAAAGAGTGTTATAAAGAGGTAAGGTACACAAAAATATCATAAAATTTTAAAATAATATAATAATAAATTATTTTATAAAAAACAATCAAAGACGATATCATAAATTTAAAAATAAAAAATTAATAATCACTTTTTTTATTATTCTAACCAAATATAAAATAATGTTTGTTTTTTATAAAATATCTGTAAAATAATATTTTTTTATAAAATATCTAAACTACCTAAGAATTACTTATTTTTTAATCTGAAACAAGCGGGTCCATTAAATCAAGATGTTTATAAATTTTAAAAGCATTTTTCAGCCTATATATTTAAGATTAAAAACTAAGTTATTTTTGATAATTTAGGGATTTGAATTCATTTGTTTTGGCCTATTTTACAAAAAAAATCACTTATTTTTGGAAAAAAAAATCTTTTGTGAGCTTTTATTATGTTTGTTTAAAGTTTTAAAAATAATCAGAATCTAAAAACAAGTATATTTTTTATTACTTTAAGAAGCTACTTTGAGTAACATTTGAAAATAATCTAATACGGTAGACGAGAGAGAGTATTTTAAAGAGGTAAGATACGCAAAGATATCATAAAATTTTAAAATAATATAATAATAAATTATTTTTATAAAACAAAAATCAAGGAAGAATTATATAAATTTTAAATAATATAATAATAAATTATTTTATAAAACAAAAATCAAGGAAGAAATTATAAAATTTAAAATTAACTAACTAATAATTATTTTTATTATTGTAACCAAACATAAAATAATGTTAGCTTTTTATAAAATCTTTACAAAATAAATCTCTTTTTTATAAAATCTCCAAACTATCTAAGAATCACTTATTTTTTAATCTTAAACAAACAGATCCTTTATAAAAAGAGATTTGTTTTGTAAAGATTTTATAAAATGTAGATATTATTTTATGTTTGGTTGTAATAATAAAAAAATAATTATTAGTTAGTCATTTTTAAATTTTATAATATCTTCTTTAATTTTTTCTCTATAAGAATGATTTATTATTAAATTATTATAAAGTTTTATGATATTTTCATATATCTCACTTTTTTAAAACACACTTTCTCATCTATCGCATCATATTATTTTTAAAAGTTACTTTAGAAATCTACTTTTTTTAATTCTGATTATTTTTAAAATTTTAGGACTACTTTGTTAAGATTAAAAAATAAGTGATTTTTAGATCATTTTAAGATTTTATGGAAAGTGATTTATTTTGTAGAGATTTTATAAAAAAGAAGATATTATTTTATGTTTGGTTACAATAATAAAAAGTGATTGTTAGTTAATTATTGGAAAAATATCAATCAAGGACGAATGGAGCATATTTATATGGGTCAAGGACCAATAAATTCTAAAATTCCACTACAGCCCCTTGATCATTAACTAATACTAATTTTTATATGAAATGACCAAATTGCCCCTAAAATATAAAATAAAAAAAGTCACCCAACTGCCACCAACACCGACCACTGGACCAATGTCAAAGGCCTTATCATTGCTAGTCACCTAAGCTCTGTCTTTTTTTTTTTTTTAATTGATAAAGGTGGCCAAGTGGGGTTTGATCTCATAACCTCCTTGGCGTCAAACCTCTTAGCCACCTAAGAACCTTATGGCCAAGGCCACCAAACTCTTTTAATTATATATGGCAAAAAAAAAAAATGTAGCAATTTAAGTTTCTAAACCATTCCATATTATAACATAATGATATATTGTTAATTCCAAAATGGCACTTGTTATTTTATTAATGTTACTTGTTAATCTAACATGATCAATTACAAGTTGGAAGCTTTAAAACTTCATACATTTTAGCTATTAAAGTCTAAATGTAGTGTTGTTAATCAGAAATGGTTGTTGTTACACATAATACAACAAAACTATTATAGAGCTACTTAAGTACAAAATTGATAAGTTATTATTTTTTATTTTGTTCTTTTAAAATTAAATATATTTTACATTTAACATAATTATTTAAAAATTAAGATTGGTTCAAAAATAAAGAAAAAATATTTTTAAAAAGTTTTGAGTATTAAGCCCGAAGCCCGAAGTTATTAGGATCGAGTTTAACTATATGAGTTTTTTAAAAGGGGTAAGATACTTTAAGCCAAATGTAAATAAATCCAACTTGAATAAGGTCGACCTAAATAAGCTTGACCTATTTGAATAATCAATTTTAGACAGAATATTTATATTAAGTTTTTCAAATATTAAGATGAAAAAGTGCGAAGGATGAATGAATCAATGGATTCCACTTTCTCTAATTTTTCAGTTTTCACATGCGTCATTTGTGTGCGCGGGGCAACAGAGACGAAAGTTGAGAGGCCCCTCATTTTTGCAATACCTATAATGGGAAAATTATTGCTAGGGACCGAGAAAAAAATATTTATCATAAACATTATAAAAATTAAAATTAGACTGAAGGACCAAGATAACTGTAATTAACTATTATAATTTTAATGTAAAACATATTAATAATATTTTAAAATTAATGGTATTCCATAAGTTATACTATTTTTTTTAAAAAGAATAAAGTTGTGCCTATTCCAATTTCACATAAATAAAAACAAAATATAGCATTAAATTTAATGAAATCAACAAATTTTAATAAATAATTAATTTTTAAATGATTAATTGATTATAATTTTAAAATCATTACTTTTAAAATATTAAGTCAATATAATTTTAAAATATTTTAAAAAAATTATTACATTTTATTTTTCCATTGATTTAAAAAGATTTTTTTAGTGTGAATTTATCTTTATAGGACTTATTTAACATTACATGAATTGATTCGATGATCACGTGATGATGATATTTAACTCCTCTTTTTTTCAAATTTGTGAATCTTCAAGATACACTAAATTTTCAAATGTGGTTAGAGAAAATAAAGAAGATTTAGTTAGGAACAATTTTATATTTTAAAATTTATATTTTAGTATTTGGTCATTCTCAATAATTATTATTTTTAAGATCATCTCTAATAAATATTTTTTCGGGTTTTTAGCAATAATTTTCCCTCCCATCATTATTGGGATCCCCCACCTTCCCTTCCTCCACGGAACGTGCGGTATGGAACGAACCTGTCCACTCATTTCATGCCAATTGTTTTTTTGAATAAATTTTGCATCAAAATATAAGAAAATATCTTGGTACTATTTAAATATAATAAAAAAACACAAACAAATTATGTAAGATATGTGTTTTTATGAATTAAAAATAAATAAATAAATAATAATTTTGAAAACGGAAACAAATAAATAAGAATATATATATATATATAGAATTATGCTGTTATGATTTTACAAATTCTGGTTATCTTTCTTTTTCCAATTCAAATGACTCTGCCTGGCTGAATAAAAAGCAAAAGAAGAGGGATCCGTATAAATAAATAATAAGATTTTAGAAAGAGTTGAAGATATTTTGGGTGAGAGAGAGGGAGGGGATCACAAGAGAGAGAGACGGAAGGGGAGAGGAAAGCGCAGATCCAAAGGCAGAGAGACAACCCAGAAGCAGAAGGTATGATCTGTTGTTGCCTTCTTATCTTACGAGTTTCAATTCTCTCCATCAAACCATCGCTGATCTGTGCTAAACTTTGCATTTATACGCAGTTTGATTAGATCTGAAGTTTTTTTTTTAACCCTAAAAAAAACTGTCTTCATTTATCTCTGCTTCATATAACGAAAATTGACATCTAGTGGAATCCATAGGCTCCTCTGCTGCTCACAGGGCCTGTTCTTAGTTCTTTCTCCCCCACGATCACCTTTTCTTTGTTCTTCAAAGCATGTTTACGCCATTTTATTTTCTTTGATTTTTGGTTCTCAAACAAATGAATTTTATATGTTCAGAAAAGACTACATAAAATACATTTTGGGTCCTATTTAGAAGATGGTTTTAATTAAATTACATGGATTAATAAAAATTGTTTATAATTAGTCAGGAGTTTTATTTTTTTCTAAAAAAAATGGTTAATTAAAATTATTAACTTTGTCTTTAAATCTTAAAGTCAAATTCAAACAAGCAACCCAAATGAAGTATGACCAATTGCTATGTGGGCATTTTTAGAAATGATTCTTTATTATTACCGTCAAGTTTTATAATATTTTGTATTAAAGATTACATAAAGGTTTGATGAGATGTCTTATATTGAGGATGAAAGAGAGTATTGCATATGCTAATTTGATAAGCTTCTTGGTACCACTAAAATATGCTTAGTTATGGAAGTGATCACAATTTAGAAATAAATTGTTAATTTAAATCAACCCCACAAATCATGTTCAAGAACTTTTGATTTTTTTTATGTAACTCAAACCTTAGTTATAATATATTGTTTTTTATGTTTTATATCTCTTTTTTCTAGCATAATGAACAGCACACAAGAAGAAAGTAGTGGCAAGAAACTAACATGGATCGAGTGTATATGGCCAGTCATAGAACATCTCCTGACTTGGTAATTATACTTATTTACCTTCTTTACCCAAGATCTGTCTCGAAGCATTTATGATATGTAAATTAAATTTGGTTCTTTCATGTGAATGATATGATTACAAGCATAGTTTGGTTCATTTGCCCAACTCACAAGGAATGAAATTATTTATGCTTTACTTGTAGGAAGGACTCATTGGTTAGTTTAAATCCTTGCTCATATGTGCATAAAGAAAAATGATTTTCTCACGTGAACAAAACCATTAATTATATATACTACGTTTTTTCCGTATTTTTCTAAGTAACTGTCTTTTAAAAGTATAATGAATAGCAAAGAAGAAGAAGAACAAAGCAAAGACAAAAAGGAACATCATGCAGATGATGACAACGAGGGAAGAGCAATAAAACAAAGTAGTGGCAACAGAAAAGTGCAAATTGCATATGATGATGATGATGAGAGAAAAGTGAAGAACAATAATGGAGACGGAAGCAACAACAATGAAAATGCAGATATTGAAGATGATGACGAGAGAGTAAAGAACATTAAAAAAAGAGGAAGTAGCACTAGCAAAAGGTTGCAGATTCTAGATGATGGTGATGGTGATGAGAAAACAGAAATGAACATTGAAGAAGAAGGAAGCCTTTGCAACAAGATGGTCACAAATCGGAGATGATGCCTTGGGTTTCATTCTAAAACACTTAGGGATCATTGATTACCTTCAAACCCTAGCTGTATGCTCTAATTGGAGATCTACAGTCGTTAAATGCATTGCTAACAAACATTGTCTTCCATCACCAGAACTGCCACTTCTTTTTCTTCAAACAATGGACATGAAAAATCTTCCCTTCTTTGACTTGCCTAGAGGAAGAGTCTTCAACTCCATAGGGTTGCCGCATGAACTCTTCCATCATTGCTATGGCACAATAAGAGGTTGGATGATCATGGTTGAATCTATCAGCAATTCTTTTGATGATGTTGAAGACATTGATGCACTAATCTTCTTCTTCAACCCAGTAACAAATGCTAAGGTCTATATGTCATCAAGGTTAAAAGTGAAAAGTAAAATCAAGAATATTGTGGCATCAACAGAACCCAATGACCCAAACTGTGTTGTGGTTCTGTCTCTTTTATCGTCAATTCGTGTTTGCATTTAGTTGGATTTCTAATGAGTCATGGACTATCGTTCAAGAATATGTGTCTACAGCATTGACGTTCTTGCACGTAGAGATTATTGATGGTAAATTGTATGCTTTGACACACTCAGTATTAAATTCTATAGTTTTTTACGATTTGCGAAAAGAACCTGTAAAACCCAGAATATTAGCAAGGCTTCCTGAAATAGGATTTTCTACAATGAGATTGAAATCGAGTACCCAAGACTTCCTTTATGATGGTGATGGTGGCATTATTAATGCTTGGGAAGCTCAAGGTGACATTCGTAAGACTTTGGCAGTTGATTCTTCATCAGGAGAGTTATTCCTTATTTATTTGGTTTGCAACTCAATCTTTAGGTTCAAGAGAATGCTTAATGATACGGTAGGAAAGGAGTATATCAGTCCACCCAAAATTTTAGATAGTCGAGTGTTTAAGTTAGACATGAGTAAAGAACCTAGATGGATAGAAGTTAAAAACTTGGGAAATCGCATGTTGTTCATTGGGTTTTGGAAAAGTTTTGTGGTGTCAAATGTTGCTCTTCAATGCCCTGAAAAGTTTATCAAAGGAAATTGTATCTATTTTGCTTATCATTTTCCATGTGTTAAGAGTATCATAGACGAATGGAAAGGCTTGAGAATTGGGAGGCATCGTAGGACAGATAGAATGGTTGATTACTATACATTTGAAAGATCAAGCTTCAATGAGGTGCCATATCCAGTTTGGTTCATACCAAGTCTTTCGTGACTCTATAACATATTGCATTATATTTCTTAGATATTATTGTAGGTTGTCTTGGGTTAATGACAATGTTATTTGTATTTTTTTAAATAATATTTATCACTATTACTTTATTATTAATATTCATCTGAAATGTTAACTAAGCTAGATCTTTCACTTCTAATGTTCAAGAAGTAGTTGAAGACAAAGATCTTCAAATTGCACAGATAAAAAACGTTCACAATTTTTAGACGAATCGATACGTTCATAAAAGAAAGATATATACAGAAATGTGCCCGAAAGGGCTTGGGTTTGACAGAGTCGGAGCCGACCACAAAAAAGCGCCATAAATTGGTCAGCCCAATGTAGAGGCTGGGTGGGCGACCTCATCGGCTGCGCCCTCCGCCATTTTTGAAAGAACTGAGGAGCTTCTGCTGGATAGTGTCAAACAAAGAATAGGAGCTCTAGGAGATAGCCGAAAAGTTAAAGTGTCAGAAGAGGCTAAATTGAAAGAAAACAAGTGGAAAAAGTGTATCCGAGCAATCCCAGCTTATCTATACATTGGGATACATTTATATTTTTTAGGGAAATTGCCTTAATATTAAAGAGATGTCTGAAGTATATTGTAAATATTTTTAATATATATTTTCTGGAAAACATTTAGTTTCAATATTTTTAACCAAATAATTTTTGCATACGTTTGTTTAAATTGTGATTTTAAATTCATAATTTTAATCAATTAAATTAATAGAACATGATTTATAATGGGTTGATGGTAAGGTTTTTAATTTTGAATAGAATGCCATTTTTCAGGGAAAAAATATCATTAACAATATTCAACTAAACTATATGAATTCAGTTTTGAACAAAAATGAATTAAGATTAATTTAAAAAACTTGTTATTATATTTAAATTGTAATGTAACGTGAATAATTTATACAATTATATGTATGTGTATGTATATTACATTTTTACATGAGCAATCTTGTTTTATGCCTCTGGCTAAATTTTGTGTGGTGTGTCTTTCTTGTTTCTGATTTTGCTGGTTAAGCTAAGTGTTCTCTTTCTTTCTTCCTCCCCCTTTGTTTCATTATTCGCGGATGGGATGGGAGGAGTATGACTATCACTTTTTATCATATATTAAAGGGAATGAGGTTCAATTCTGGCAGAAGGCTCTAGGAGTCAAGATTGCTCAAGATTCTGCTGGTACACAATCTAGGACTATGAAGTCAATCAATCAAGACCAGATCAGTTTAGTGTAAGTGCTCGGCACTACCACTATGGCAGATATGCTTGATGGTTAGTAGAGAAGCCAAGAAAATTATCAATATGGAGTACAATAGTCAAGCTTCACCTCAACAAATCCAAGTAAATTTGTATTGACTAATATCAAATTGTTCTCTTTTGTCAAACCCAAACCACAATATAAGATACAAAATAGCCACCAAAATATGGGGAGTAATTAAATCAACACCCAACAAAATAACAACTAAGTTCATGTACTACATGTCTGATCCATTCACTTGTTCAATTATGCAGTCTGATGTGATCCATTAATTCATTTTTCTTAATGATAGGGAGATTGTCCAAACGCCTTTCAATTTCATCACGAGGGAGGGAGCAACTCAGCCGTTTCAATGCTCTGACTACATTCTGTTTGATTTCTTCGGCCTCAATAGGTGAAAGTAAAAATTGAGCAAATATATCCAACAACTGAGGGAGTGGGTTGAGCATCTAAATTATATTTTTCAAAAATAAATGGTTCGATAAGAATTGCAGGAGAATAAAACCATTTGGATAAAACAATAAGTAAAGAAAGAAATTTAAATATTCTTAAAAGAAACAATTACCTAGTACATCAATGGTGATACAAGATTACAAGTACATCAATTGATAACAAAGACTCCCATGGTTCCCCTTTTTTGTTCTTTTAGGAAGAACTCGCAAGCAATTTAGAAAAGTAAACTAATTAAATGTATCAAATTAAAGTTTACATAGAAGTTAACAAAAATAAAATTTCCAAACAAATCATGGAAAGTCAAAACTACAATATATTTACTTGTCCATTTTATTCCTAAAAAAATGTTGATTTAAATGAAATGTGATGTAGCTTATAAAGCAAACTAGAAGTTACTTGTTTTAATGGAATGAAATCGAGGTACTTCCATATATATCTGCCACTACCGCAACCGCATTGGCCCTTACTGAATCACTTTGTTCGGAATCTCTAAGTAAAGGAAGAAGGTGATACAATATTTTGGAGTAGTATCTAACACTATATTAAGGAAATGCTAACCAATACCTTGAACTGATAAATATTCAGACACTCAATAGTACCTAGTCATATTGGTTGAGACAATTAACCCTTTAAATAAGACTTTGACAGGCTAAAGTGCTAATCTAAAGCGTTATTATAGTAGACAAGACTAAATCATCATTATGCACATATTTCAAGGGCTAAATCATATTTTGAGTCTAAAGTGTGACAGATAAATTAAAAGGATAGTCCATAGCTAAATCACCTCTCTTGCACAATACTCCAAAACAATACACAGCATTCATTCTAGTTGTTGCCTCAGCCGATCCTAACTCCTTGAATAATAAGGAAATCACTCTCTAAAATACCAAAAATATATAATATTTGATGAAGTAATTAAGTTTCTCTAAATAAGCACTTTTGTTAAAAATCATTAATTAGAGAAAGGAAAATAAGAAAATTACATTTTTACATCCCATAATAGAAATCATGCTGTGTGCAACTACTTCTCTATCATCATCTTTAAGCACGGTCTTAATGTAAATATTTAAGACCATATCTGTAAAATTGAAGGCTTAAGTTATATTTATGTTTATCATGATGGTAAATAAAATATACATAAATAACTGTTTAAGTTCGAGAAAACATATTACCTATACTTTCTTTAATTTCTTGCGCACCATCCTGGAAACATAGGGTTTATCACAATAAAATTGGAAGTTATGTAATTTGCAAGGGAAGAAATATTGAAAGGTGCTATAGTGAGAGAAGACATATTTTTTTTGTATATTATTTAGAGATAATTCATTGTGCAAAATAAAAATATGCTTGAAAAATCAAAATTAATTGGTAACTCAAATTTTTTGATAGGCCTATTAGACGAACATACGCACGACAAGATGCTAAAGTGGAACATATAGCCATATTTATAAAGGAACCGATAAAAAAAAGAATGAAACAGATAATTTTGTAGTAACTATTATAATAGATAGATAAAATGAAACATATCAACCACAAGATGCTACAGGAAAAATAGATGGCCATATGTGAAAGGAACAAGTGACAAAAAAGAATGAAGGAGGTAATATTGTAGACTTACTGGTTGACTTTTGAATATTGCATATGTGGCATTCAAAATATCTATTGCGTAAGTTGAGAGAAAATTTGTTAGAACTAAAAGGACAAAGTAAAAACCAACAAATCATTTATAATGTGATATAGAAAAAATATGTAATGGTTGTATACTATATGAACCTTCTTTTTAAAAGTCTGTCAAGAAAGGTAGAGTTGGCAATTCTAATTGTAGTCTTTAGTAAGTTCACTACCATGGTTAGGTCATTTGAACTTGAACTATCCTCAAATGTGCTCACATTCTCTAATTGCACCTACATTTGTTTTTCAAAAACCAATATGAATTTTCAAGTTTCATAGCAAATAAAATACATATATGACTTTTTAGTTTGAACTAATATGAATTTTCTCAATGTACAAGAGAGATGGTATTAAAGAAAAGAAGAAATGAATCTAAAGAGTGGAATGTGTGACTATATATGATAGATTAAATAATCAAACTTTAAGTGAGAATATACAATGTCAAAAGTAAAGTACTAGTTACCTGAAAAAAGTTCTTTATCACCTTAATTCTATCCATGCTCTTTATTTCTATGCTTCCTTCAAGTCTTTACATTTGATCCTTAGAAGCTACGTGACATTTTGAGTTCTATATGTATAAGTGTGGGGTTTGAGGCACAACCCACACACTTCTCCAAACATATCACTTGCTTGTAGAGTCTTGATGACTTCCTCCTTGCTCATGACATGACTAATAACCGCAATTATTCTTGAGATAATTATATACACATCTTGGGGAATTTCATTTTGGATGATAACATCCGCCCCAAATGGTATGTACTCTATATGCATTTTGGTCATCTACACATGCATTAATTTGATTAAATTAAAATTTGTCATGTAACATCAATGAATAATTTTAAACTTATTAGTAAAAACAATAATTAACAACCATCAACTAACTAAGGATAATAGCAACCTCTTGAAACGCGCCATTGAACAAATATGCATTTCTAACTATTAGGAAAAACTTGTCACTATAGATGCTGTTTTGAATTGATTTCAGCTGCTCATCAAAGGTAACAAAACTTATAAGTTTTTCAGATAATTCAAATTTCAGGAGTAGATATTATAATAAAAATATCAAAATCTTAATTAAAAATGAAACTTACAAGTTTTGAGATATCAACTTCGTCAAAGAGAAGCTTTTGAATATTGGTAGCCAAATAAACCGCAAGCAAAAAATTGAAGAGCATATAAATGCTACCAAATATCTTCTCCAATAGGTTGATAGGGTGAAAATCACCATAGCCAACTGTTAACACTGTAGTGATGGAAAAGTATATTGATTCCCAATATCTTGATCCAATACTTTTATCCTTGAAATGTGGATCCAAATTACCAATCCAAGTATTCTTCATAAGGATATATATCCGCAATCCAATAGAATATGCAAGCACCATAATGTATCAAAAAATATGTTCCCTATACCAAAATTCAATCCAATTATTTATAACAATAACGTAATAGAAAATTTAATTTTATCAAGTATTTGTACTTCGTATTCGCACACCTCAACCTCTAGTGATAAAGATAAGATAGAATGTTGATAAGGTTGAATGTTCAAAACTCATTAATACATTACATGTATTAACATAATATTCTTAGATAACTTAACTAAAAATTAATAGAATATTTTAATGATGTGATAATACTATACAAATGATTATATAGGACGATTGTGCATACAACCATCCTATATAAGGAGGTGGAGATCGTGTTGGGAGATGTACAAGATGGTTCCCAAAATAACCATCATATTTGTTCATAAATATAGGATGGTTTTTAAGTGTAAAAAATTAATTTTTAAAAAATAATAACTTATACAGGACTATTTTGATTTATAATTGTCCTATATATATCCAATGTTTTTATAAAATTGTCATGTAAATTGTTTAAAATCTCTAGCCCCCCTTTTTATTTCAAATACACAAGCCTTCTGGGTTGTCTTCTTCTTCCTCTGCCTTCCACCATTTTTGTTGCCTCAACAACAATCTTTCTATGTTTTCTAAATTTGGATGAGATTATTGTTTGATCTGTCACTTTTTTTGTTGAAAATGAATTTAAATTAGATAATTTTTGAGCTTAACTGATAAAATTTTTATTATTGCTGTTGTTGATGGATTGTTGTCTAAAATTGGAGAAATTTGGTGTTATAAGGTTACAAAATTTGATTAGAATTGGAAATAGTTTTAGTTTTGATTAATTAAGGATTTAGTTAATTTTTGGTCAATGTATTGGAGGTTGAATATATAAATCTCTCTTTCTCTTTATATATATATATATATATATATAACTAAAGATATATATATATAAAATCTTAGCAAGTTGTATTGGTTTTTTATGTGTATATATGTATGTGTACAAAAATTGATGTTGAGTAATGGTACATCTTTTGTTCTAGCTAGAATTGTGACTCTCTTTACTTTTGTGAATATCATATGATTTTCCAACTTTAGTATTTATTTAGAACTTTAAATAGTATTGAATAGGTAATTTCTAGCTCTTTTGTTTGCCCTTAGATTATGGATGTTGTTGTGATTGAGTTGGGTTGAATTAGGCTTGGTTAGATTATATAGGGATGAAATTAAGTATGAAGAGAGGGCCAAGTGCCTGAAAAACTCTCAATTTTAAGCCGTTATGCTGTTGAATTTCATTTAAGAGTGCTAACAACTTTTAAATAAAAACTGTAACCATTTGAATGTAAGGGAATTCAAAAGGTTTATTCTTATTAGATGTTTTTAATAGAAAAGAAAAAAATATAATTAGTTTATGATCAACAATAATACACTAAATTTTATGGCTAACTATCATTTTCACCTAAGCTTTTAATGCAATACAGTAAGGTCCCAATTAAATTTATTTTTAATACTGGGGATTTTTTATTAAGGATCCCCATTGTTTTTAATCAAGTGACTCAAGAGTAAGGCATTGAGTTAATTAGTAGTTATTATATTTATTATCTTGCATTTATGATGATTGAGCTACTACTCATCACATCTCTTGCAATAATTTGCTATAGATTGGGATGATTATGGATAAGGAATGGATGTCTGTAGATCAAAGATTGAGGAAATACTTGGAGGGGGTGAGCCACTTTTTTAAAGCTAGCATTGAATATGAGGGAGGCACTGAGAGCATTGTGTGCCTTTGTTTAAGATGTGGACTTATGAGGCGAGTCACTGCATGAGAATTGGAAGACCATTTATTGGTTAATGGAATCGATGAAAATTATAAGTGTTGGCATAAACATTGACAGATAAGGGACATAACCAGAAGTAGCTGTAACTATGTGTCACATGACTTTGACACAAGTGTAGATGAGGTAGATTGTGTTAAAGAGATGGCCAATGCAATAGAAGCAGAACTCAATGATTGTCCTGAAATGCTTGAAAGGTTGAGAAGCAATGCAAAGATGCCATTGTACACTTGTAATGACTTAGAATATAATTAAAATTAAAAATTAATGATAAAATATTTTAAGGATATATATATATATATATATAATTTATTTGCACATTGGTATAGATTTATCAAGGAGAAGAAAATTTTTTTTTACTAATGAGTGGGCTAAATTATCATTTTTTCCCTTTGGTCAAAAATAAAATAAAATAAAATAAATTAATTATAAAATACTAAAAATAAATAATGCAATAGATGAGATCAGATACGCACACGGGGGGGGGCCTTTGCTTTTTTTTTTTTTTTTTGTCTTTTTTGTCATAGGCTTCGAAAGTTCCAGATCAAGGAGGTCGGTGAGAGCTTTGAACCATACTCGTGTCTTCTCTAGTCTGTCTCCCCTGCCGTCCTTTTCATCTGTCACCGGTGACCTTGAGCGTGCTGCAGCCTTCCTTTTCCTCTTCCTCTGTTTTTGAGTCGCTAATCGTGCAACAGTGAGTTGTTGTCCCATTCGTCTGTACGATGTTCATTTGCGCCGCCTGCCGTTCTTCTTCCTCTGTTAATATTGTGCTATGGGTTTTTAAATTTCGGACTATGGAAGTGGTTCGTTCCTGCAAGAGACTGATTTCTGGTCTTCTCTTTCCCCTGTTCAGCAGCAAACTCCTCCTCTCCCTTCATCGTTGTTGTTGCCGTGGCTGGTATGAGAGTGCTCATCTTCCCTTCTCCATCTTTAATGATCTTATGTGGTGTATAAAGATATATATATATGTGTATGTGTGTATATATACATACAACATACATACATATATATATATATATAATTGGCTTTCCTTGCTTGCTTGTTCGACGTACTGTATGTTTTGAATTTTTCTTGAGCTTAAATTGATTTTTGTTGAGGAATTGGATTGGAAAAGCATAATGAATTTAATAATGGATGAATGGAAATTGTTGGGTAATCAGAGATTGTAGCTGAACGAGTTTTACTAAAGCGTTTAGAAGTTCTGCACACAAGGAATTTGATATAAGGTTTGAGAGATAATTATGTCTCAATGGAATAATTAACTATGGCTAAAGTATTGTGAAGAAATTTTGAGATAAATAATGATGTTTGGGGTAACTTGAATCATTTAGATGGATTATGGCTGGAAATTTATAAATTTTGGTACCTGTGTATGATTTGATTTTTGAGTGCACATAAGATGTTTGATGGAGTGTGGGAAGAGAAATTGTTTTGGTTTAAATAAATAACTAAGTATGGGTAATGAACTATTGACTAAATCTTTGTAAAAAATTGTGATAGGGGTTGTCTTCCACCTTAACCTTCATGACGAAGTTTTTTATAAATCACTTGGTCATAGCTTCATAGAGATTCTTAAGCTGTGTACAGTTAGTGTCTGCGCATGTGTGTGTCTAAATGTATATATTCATGATTATGAATGTGTTGATTGACTTTCGGTGCAAATGCGAGAGCTGCCCAGTGGTCTTGCTGTTGTAAAGTAAGCCATAGAATCTCAGCTATGGTATTTGGAATAATCCATGCAATAACTAGATCTTTATATAGAAGTTATTACATTCTTTATAGGAATTTGAGATTAAGGACTTTGCTTACATATAAGTGTTTAAACAAAATGATGGTAGGGGGTCGATGAATGTTGTTTTATTAATTATTTATTTTGGATTTATAGCTGATTGTATTTAAACCTCCAAATATGTAAAATAAAATGCTATGGTTTCAAGTCACAATGTTGTGGGAAGAGTGCAAGTGTAAACGATGGTATTATTAGTTAAAATGTGTTAGTAGATTACTATGATTTGTGCACTGGAAAGGAATGCGGATGATATGAATTTCTTTGGAATGAAAATTAAAAGATTGGGGACCAAGAACAATGTGAGAATATACTATGATAATTGAGTGAGTGAACAATTATGAGTTTTATAAAATTTTAGAGATTCAATTATTATTATTATATTGGATATTTCAGGAATAAACCTTGTGGGGAATGCTAAATGGGTAAATTTCAATGGTTGGATTGCCTCAGGTAAGTGAATAGCGTCCCAACTGATATTTCATTAAAATCTCCTTTATTCAAATATTAAATTTTTATGCAATTTTTTTTACGACAATAATGTGATTATGAGATATTTTGTTGATTAAATTACTTTATTTCGTGAAATTATTTTACCAGAATTGATCATTTTAGTTAATCAGTAAATACAAGTTTGAATTCTAATTGTGGGATTTCAATTTGGAAATTATTGAATTGTTACGGAGAAATGATTCATGCGAGTTCGACATTGAAAAGGGAAATTTGATTGAATAGTGATCAATTTCTCGCATGTTTTGAAAATGGTTTTAAAAAGGGACTTTATATAGAACACTGGTTGCTAACGGCAGTTCTGTTAGCCCTTGGCGCGCCATGGTACACCTAGCTAGCAGGGTGTTTATAGGAGATGCTAGCCCCGTGCGATGGCCAACGCACGTGGAACGGAGATGGGATGTTATTCGTGAGCATCGCACTCACGTTTGTTTCGTGGCTTCGGCCGCGTTTGGTTATATACCCTCGTGGACTGTGGGTCCACGTTTGTTTCGTAGCTTCGGCTGCGTTTGGTTACTTACCCTCGTGGATTGTGTATCCACGTTTGTTTTCGTGGCACAAGCCGCGTTTGGTTATTTACTTTCGTGGACTGTGTGTCCATGTTTGTTAATTGTTCTGATAAGTCCCTATAATTATGAAACCAATTATTTGATGATTTCATATTTCATTGGTTTTTATTTAGTGATTTGTTTATAAATATTTTATTTCATTTATGTGCTTTCTTGAAATCAATTGATATTATCATTTGCTATGATAGTTCGATGATTTGAGATTTTATTTGAAATTTATAGAGCCATATTATTATGAAGTTCATTAAATTTTTATAAAAATTTTGTCTATTTAACCTACATAACTATTTCAAACTTTTCATTTTATTTATATTCTATTGTTTATTGTTGGGACGTTATTCACTGGAAAATATCTTTGGTCTCAGATACCTTAGCTGACGTTGATCTTCCTGCCGATCCTGAGCACTTATAGACAGGTGGAGGGTTGATTGAAATTTTTCTTTTGATGTAATTATAAATGTTTATATATCTTATTTTTATTTTATTTTTGAAAAGTACGATTAGGTGCTCCACATAAGCTATAACTAGGACTTTTATTTTATACATGCTGTCTGTCGGCTAGAAGGAGCTAAGCTCTTGATTTAATTCATATTTTGACTGTATCAATATATTGTAGAAATTTTGAGAAATTTTATTTACAGGAGGGGTTTTGTCAAAATTTTTATGAACATGTTGAAACTTTGTTATAATTATTATTGTCAAAAGTATTATAATTTCAATATAAATCTGATTTTAATTTTAGAAATAGAGTGAATTTACAATTTAAGGCTTACAGGATGTGTGAAATGGTTCACATCCTGTGCCGGTCGCTCTCCAAATTTTGGGGTGTGACAGATTGGTATCAGAGCATAGGTCTCTTATAGCTATGTGGGGCAGGACTCTTCAGTGGGGTCTCAATTATTATTATGAACCCGGGCATAATCATAGTTGAGGCATCATGAAGGCCTTTAGGTGTTTTGTTGTATTTTTTTTTTTTTTTTCCTTTTCTCTCCGTTGCATACTAGTCCTACCTATTAAACTGAATACATATTATATTTACTTGTATAGCAAATTGTCTCTTATAAGTTAAACATCGAGAAGAAGGACATGCAACAAGAGAATTTTTGACAAAGCATGTACTCACTTGGTGTCAAGATTTCTAGCATGAATACGTTCTTGTGGGTAAAGCTTCAAGTAAGGCTACTTTATCGTAGTTGATGATTTGCTATGTGCTAGATTGCTCGCTACTTTTGCTGATTAAAAGAATAAGTTGTTAGTATCTTTTTATAATATTGTTTTGGACGTAACATTGGCGGTTATTAGAACTATACCATAATTTTCTAGCATTCTGTGTTTTGTTTCCCTAAAGAATCTATTAATTACCAGATAGATAGGCTTTACATTTGGTGCGTTTGTTGTAAATGTCATTCTATGCTCGAGAGCAATATGCCTTTTTATTCATTAGAGGCCGTGAGTCTCTCTTTACTTAGTTTTGTGCAAGGAAGCCTAACTATGGGATACAAGAGAAATAATTTATTATTTTTGCAATTTATTTGATTATGGAAATTTGGTTTGTTTTGAGATGCCTACCTAGGCTTATAAGGTTGAATGCTCTAGCTTCCTAATGGGTGACCTCTTGATATGGACTTCTATTGATATCCCTAGTATAATCTAGGAGGAGTAACTATGTATCTAAGCATCTCGCAACTGATGTTTATAAGGAAGTGTGCTTTATTTTTGTTTATATGAATTGATAGTGCTATATTTTGCTGAAATAACGCTCATGCACACTACATTGTAGTAGTTCCAAAAATTGCATAGTTTCTGACCATAAATATATCACTTTTAAAAGGTCTTTGCTTCTCTGACTATCTCGCACGGCCGAGATAGATAGTTGTAATGAAGCGTGGCCTGATTCATGAAGGAAAAGACATATTGATGCAATGTTTTTGTGGTTATTGTAAATCAATTTTGTGTTATTTGCATATTGTTTGTTCTAGTTTCTGAAACAAGAAAATGAGACTGTTAATGGAACAAGAAATGATATAGTTTAACATTATATGTGTGTGATTTAATGTTAATGTATGTTAAGCATTTGATTTTTTTTCAAATTAGAACCAAATTAGTAACAGAGAGTACGACTGCAGTTGAAGGTCTTAAAGGCTGAATTTGGAGCTGAAACTTGGCATGAACTTATAGAACATGTGGTAGTCTTGTGCACCCAAATATGGTAATTTTTGGGTCTTTGAAGAATATCCTATAAATTTTTGGATTTGGTTTTTTTTTTTTTTAAAAAAAAACTATTATGAAATAGTTCCACAGCTCTTGTATCATATCTGATGTTTTATAAATGACTTGGGAATCTTAGCAATAGATAGTGCATGAATATATTTTTTCTGGGGAGTCCTAGTTTGCTTCAATTGGATGTTCCCATCTGAAGTCATGATTGTCTAAAATTTAGGAACAAGTATATGTTCAGACTATGCAAAAACAGGTGAAGAGGGATTTAGTTTTATTGTTCTTTAATTAATTATGTTGGTTACTGATAAGATGATTTAAGCATTCTAAATGAGTTAGAATAACCTTTGGCAGTGAATGGTGTAGAGAGGGAAAAATAAAATAAGAAGATGATATAAGAGCAAGAGTGGTAATTTTATATAGGAGATGAATATAATGCTTAGATATTTTTTTATAAATTTACAATAGAAATTATTGATGAAATTTTGGTGTATTTAAAGAAGTTTGGACTAACATGAATATTTATAAGAAACGTTTTGAGAGCAAGAATTCTAATATATTAAGTTACTATTTATGTCATGTTATATCTATCAATGTAACCGAAGCATATCAGATTGAGGTAGGAATTCAAATATGACAACTACTTATTATTGTCGTTAGGAATTGAATATTCTTGGGTTTAACATGATGTTGTTATCCTTGCTTTCTATGGAATCTTTGTTGACAAGCTAATACATAGGAAAGTGCGAGTTTCCAAGGGTTGACTCTTGGGAAAGAGTTTTTAAAAGTTGCCCATTAGGAAAAAAAAAAAAAGAAGAAAAAGAAGAAAGAAAGAAAGAAATTTATTTTTACAAGAGAAGGAGGGAATTGCTCAAGGATTATTATTATAATATTTTCATCATTTTGATAGAGTATATCTAACAACATTATTTAAATAGAAAAATCAATGGATGGCTTGGAACAAATAATAGTGGTAGTAGTAAAGGGATGATTGATGAAAGAAATTCTGGAAAAAGCAACATGGAATGAATTTTAAGTTTGAGAAAGGAGTATTTTTAACTTATATAGGGAACACTGGTTCTGTCTCTAAGTGTTTCATATTCTCAGAGTATAGCCCAAAGCAATGCAAGAGATCGACAGTGGTAGGAAAATTTTTGTACTGTGGGGATAGTGTGAGTAAGGGTGTCGTAATGTGATTTAGCTCATGTTATGTGGGTTGTATGCAAGTTATGTAAGAGCATTAGAAATTGACGTGATTGGAGGAATAGAGAATTACATTAGAATTCTATCATCTTAGTTGCGAACCAAGGACTTTGAACTACCTTGTGACTCTGGCCAGTCTTTCAAAAAGTTCTGGGTATTGTTTATGAACTAATGATCTATATAAGAGAACAATTGAAATTTTAGACGCTACGTCAAGATTTTGTATTTTAGTTAGGGAAAATTAGAACAATTACTGGGTTTTAGTGGGAAGGATATGTTGTAATAATTATTATCCAACTAGCATTTACAATTTTAGAAGTTATATATTAAGTAAGGAAGATTTTTCATTAAGTGGTTCAACATTGCTTAAGTTAAATGAAGATGTTCCTGTGACTATTTTATTCAGACAATAAAGAAGGCTTGTTTTAAGAAGGTTGACTTTGTGAATTGATTTGTCCGACTGTTCTCAAAAGTTACTTGGAAAGTTGAAAGGAAAGTGCATGCTGAGTATCTGCATTTAATGGGAAAACGAGGTGAGTTTATTTAAATTCGGAGGACCGAATTTTTTAAGCGGGGGAGAATGTAATGACTTAGAATATAATTAAAATTAAAAATTAATGATAAAATATTTTAAGGATATTTATATATATATATATATATATTTATTTGCACATTGGTATAGATTTATCAAGGAGAAGAAAATTTTTTTTTTTACTAATGAGTGGGCTAAATTATCATTTTTTTCCCTTTGGTCAAAAATAAAATAAAATAAAATAAATTAATTATAAAATACTAAAAATAAATAATGCAATAGATGAGATCAGATACGCACGCGGGGGGGGCCTTTGCTTTTTTTTTTTTTTTTTGTCTTTTTGTCATAGGCTTCGAAAGTTCCAGATCAAGGAGGTCGGTGAGAGCTTTGAACCATACTCGTGTCTTCTCTAGTCTGTCTCCCCTGCCGTCCTTTTCATCTGTCACCGGTGACCTTGAGCGTGCTGCAGCCTTCCTTTTCCTCTTCCTCTGTTTTGAGTCGCTGATCGTGCAACAGTGAGTTGTTGTCCCATTCGTCTGTACGATGTTCATTTGCGCCGCCTGCCGTTCTTCTTCCTCTGTTAATATTGTGCTATGGGTTTTTAAATTTCGGACTATGGAAGTGGTTCGTTCCTGCAAGAGACTGATTTCTGGTCTTCTCTTTCCCCTGTTCAGCAGCAAACTCCTCCTCTCCCTTCATCGTTGTTGTTGCCGTGGCTGGTATGAGAGTGCTCATCTTCCCTTCTCCATCTTTAATGATCTTATGTGGTGTATAAAGATATATATATGTGTATGTGTGTATATACATACATACATACATACATATATATATATATATATATATTGGCTTTCCTTGCTTGCTTGTTCGACTGTAAATGTTTTGAATTTTTCTTGAGCTTAAATTGATTTTTGTTGAGGAATTGGATTGGAAAAGCATAATGAATTTAATAATGGATGAATGGAAATTGTTGGGTAATCAGAGATTGTAGCTGAACGAGTTTTACTAAAGCGTTTAGAAGTTCTGCACACAAGGAATTTGATATAAGGTTTGAGAGATAATTATGTCTCAATGGAATAATTAACTATGGCTAAAGTATTGTGAAGAAATTTTGAGATAAATAATGATGTTTGGGGTAACTTTGAATCATTTAGATGGATTATGGCTGGAAATTTATAAATTTTGGTACCTGTGTATGATTTGATTTTTGAGTGCACATAAGATGTTTGATGGAGTGTGGGAAGAGAAATTGTTTTGGTTTAAATAAATAACTAAGTATGGGTAATGAACTATTGACTAAATCTTTGTAAAAAATTGTGATAGGGGTTGTCTTCCACCTTAACCTTCAATGACGAAGTTTTTTATAAATCACTTGGTCATAGCTTCATAGAGATTCTTAAGCTGTGTACAGTTAGTGTCTGCGCATGTGTGTGTCTAAATGTATATATTCATGATTATGAATGTGTTGATTGACTTTCGGTGCAAATGCGAGAGCTGCCCAGTGGTCTTGCTGTTGTAAAGTAAGCCATAGAATCTCAGCTATGGTATTTGGAATAATCCATGCAATAACTAGATCTTTATATAGAAGTTATTACATTCTTATATAGGAATTTGAGATTAAGGACTTTGCTTACATATAAGTGTTTAAAACAAAATGATGGTAGGGGGTCGATGAATGTTGTTTTATTTAATTATTTATTTTGGATTTATAGCTGATTGTATTTAAACCTCCAAATATGTAAAATAAAATGCTATGGTTTCAAGTCACAATGTTGTGGGAAGAGTGCAAGTGTAAACGATGGTATTATTAGTTAAAATGTGTTAGTAGATTACTATGATTTGTGCACTGGAAAGGAATGCGGATGATATGAATTTCTTTGGAATGAAAATTAAAAGATTGGGGACCAAGAACAATGTGAGAATATACTATGATAATTGAGTGAGTGAACAATTATGAGTTTTATAAAATTTTAGAGATTCAATTATATTATTATATTGGATATTTCAGGAATAAACCTTGTGGGGAATGCTAAATGGGTAAATTTCAATGGTTGGATTGCCTCAGGTAAGTGAATAGCGTCCCAACTGATATTTCATTAAAATCTCCTTTATTCAAATATTAAATTTTTATGCAATTTTTTTTACGACAATAATGTGATTATGAGATATTTTGTTGATTAAATTACTTTATTTCGTGAAATTATTTTACCAGAATGATCATTTTAGTTAATCAGTAAATACAAGTTTGAATTCTAATTGTGGGATTTCAATTTGGAAATTATTGAATTGTTACGGAGAAATGATTCATGCGAGTTCAACATTGAAAAGGGAAATTTGATTGAATAGTGATCAATTTCTCGCATGTTTGAAAATGGTTTTAAAAAGGGACTTTATATAGAACACTGGTTGCTAACGGCAGTTCTGTTAGCCCTTGGCGCGCCATGGTACACCTAGCTAGCAGGGTGTTTATAGGAGATGCTAGCCCCGTGCGATGGCCAATGCACGTGGAACGGAGGGATGGTTATTCGTGAGCATCGCACTCACGTTTGTTTCGTGGCTTCGGCCGTGTTTGGTTATATACCCTCGTGGACTGTGGGTCCACGTTTGTTTCGTAGCTTCGGCTGCGTTTGGTTACTTACCCTCGTGGATTGTGTATCCACGTTGTTTTCGTGGCACAAGCCGCGTTTGGTTATTTACTTTCGTGGACTGTGTGTCCATGTTTGTTAATTGTTCTGATAAGTCCCTATAATTATGAAACCAATTATTTGATGATTTCATATTTCATTGGTTTTTATTTAGTGATTTGTTTATAAATATTTTATTTCATTTATGTGCTTTCTTGAAATCAATTGATATTATCATTTGCTATGATAGTTCGATGATTTGAGATTTTATTTGAAATTTATAGAGCCATATTATTATGAAGTTCATTAAATTTTTATAAAAATTTTGTCTATTTAACCTACATAACTATTTCAAACTTTTCATTTTATTTATATTCTATTGTTTATTGTTGGGACGTTATTCACTGGAAAATATCTTTGGTCTCAGATACCTTAGCTGACGTTGATCTTCCTGCCGATCCTTGAGCACTTATAGACAGGTGGAGGGTTGATTGAAATTTTTCTTTTGATGTAATTATAAATGTTTATATATCTTATTTTTATTTTATTTTTGAAAAGTACGATTAGGTGCTCCACATAAGCTATAACTAGGACTTTTATTTTATACATGCTGTCTGTCGGCTAGAAGGAGCTAAGCTCTTGATTTAATTCATATTTTGACTGTATCAATATATTGTAGAAATTTT